AAAAGAACTTAACGAGCTGTCATCGTTCATTTATTTGTTATTACATACAAAAGATTAACAAATTAATATTAAAAACTACATTAAAAAAAAAAAAAAAAGAAAAACAAAATTATACAATAGTTTTGTTATACACATATATATGTAAATATATGTTTGCATATATATTTTTTCGTATGTATTTACGGCACTGCTCGTAAGCTAATTTACGTTACGGATTGTGAATGCGGCTAGATCATTTGTTTATGTATTAGTTTATATAATTTTCGTTTTGTTATGGATAGATCCGTTTGTCTAGGACAGGAACTCCATTAGCCAATATAGGTTTTTGAAACATAAAATACAGTTAAATTGCCTTTAGCATTCCTTTGACCAGAATTTTCACATGACAGAAGTGTTTTCAATATTAGCAATATTTTCTCATTTTACTTGAAGTTTTTCATAGTTTTGTTTTCAACAATACAAACAGAATACAAATTTAACAATAAAATTGACGGGGGACAATTATATATACAAATAATATAAATAGCAATAATTGATTTATGACATGGATAAACACAAAGTATTTGTCAAATTTGAAATAAAATATTAATAGAAAACAGAAAAATACAATTATACAAAATGACATAGTTAAACAATTTTGAAAAGTAAGGCTTTCATCCTTTTTTTTGTTTTGTTTGTTTTGTTTTTGGTTGCTTTGCTTTTTTTTTTTTTTTTACTTATTTAAGCATAATTATTTATAGTGTTCGTGTGTGTTCGTGTCTTTGTGTGTGTGTGTGTTTGTGTCTGCCTGTTTGTGTGTCTGTTTATCGATCTTTTTAGTTGTTGTTTTGTGTTTATCCTATTTTAGTTTTAGTTGTAGTTTTGTTTTTCATTTTAAAATAATAAATACATACATACATATACATTACATTACAATTACATCATATCCATAGTACAAAATATAAAATTTAACATCACATTGGTTGACATTCTTTTGTTGGTTGGTTGGTTGCTTCGCTTACATGCACTTACTTTCATCATCCTCCTCCTCCTCCTCCTCCTCCTCATCATCATCATCATCATCATTATCATCATCAATATTAACTTTACATTATGCTTAACATCGTGTGTTGATTTTGCTTTGATTTACATACATTGTATAGTTTGTTTTTGTTTTTACTTTGTGGGTTGGTTGGTTTCGTTTACTTTTGTCCTTTGTCCATTTCTACAATTGATAGCATTTGAAATTAATCTGCGTGTGTATGTGTGTGAGTGCTTGTGGATTTGCTTAAACTGTCGGTCGGTAGGTCATAACGATCGATTGCTCGATCCGAATTTCGTTTCTCTTAGCCTCTGCTCTTCGCACATCCATTTCCATTTCCGTTTCGATTTCCATTTGCATTATTTTACATTTTCTGTTAACAATTGATGTTCTCTCTCCTCTCTCTCTCTCTTTCTTTCTACAATGTTGGCCTCTGCTTTCTAACCTGCAAGTACATATAAAGTCGTTCATTACAATGCACAATAGTCACACTAGAAACTTATATACATATACATATATGCATATCATATACATACAAATGCCTGCTGAGAAGTCGTCTAGAATTCAGTTTGATTTATGGCGCACGCTCTACGCACTGCTCACTCAGAAGTTAAACGACTTAACGAGCTTTACAATACAAATACAATGCATTAAGCACAATACACATATCTATATCTATACATACATACACATATATATATACATATATATCAATCCATATATCTATACATAAGATACTGATTACACAGACCAAGCACATTTACATATCAATATGAATACATTAAATACTTATATACAAATGAAAAAGGGTAATTTACATATTCACATTTATTTATATCGCTAGCTAAAAAGTAAAATAAAAAAATAATATTGCATGGATGATGCATATGATAGCTACTTATCAGTAGCAATTTATATACATAAATAATTTTGCGTATTCGGCATTACCTAATGAGATTTTTACTAATCTCCGGGATGCTCAGGACAGGAGCGATTCACCTCAAACCAACGATCGATGCAGCTGCAGACGAGACGAATATATTAGTATATTGATTTATAGATTTAGCATGTGTGCTAAGCGGCCTCTATTTACCCTTTGTGGTATATGCATAGACATGGCAATCGAGCAATTGTATCACCTGGACTCAAGTCTTCAAGGCAAATGACGCACTCACCCTTGGCGTCCAGCAATGTGTCCTCTGTAAAAGCGAATGAAAATTTATGATAAACAATGCAAGCAATGCCGACATTCCGGCTGCATACCGTTATATGAGAGTCTTGGTTTTGTTAGGCACATGACTAAATGGCATTCAATATCGTCTGGCAACACGAACTTATTGCACACAGGGCATTTGATACCTGTGCGGAAGGAAAGAATTCAACATCGCTGACCAGGAAAGAGRTATATATATATATATAAGTACCATTGAAGGACCAAATGTGCGATGGAAGCGATGTTGCTGTATAAACGCGGCCAATGCCATTCGCTGATGTTGCCGATGCAGCCAATGCAATGCTCTCAACGATGTTTGCGCCAGTCATCGACATATCCTGCAGGACAATGGGCAAATGAGAATGGCAGACTGTGGAGAGAGTCGAGTGCAACTTACGCGTATTGAGTCACCAAACGCGCGTCGCTGTTGCATATAGCTTTGTGCGGCAGCCGCGGAACTGTTGTTGTTGCCGGCTGCCGCCTGGAAGCTATTGCTATTTGAATTAGCTGACACAGAGACTGAAACGGCGGGATGTGTGTTCGGGTACGTGCTGGATCCCTGCTGTAGTTGTTGCTGTTGCTGCTGCTGTTGTTGTTGCTGTTGCTGCTGTTGTTGCTGCTGCTGCTGCTGTTGTTGTTGCTGCTGTTGAATGTCGGGCACTGAGCTGAGGCTGCGTGCACGCTGTCGATCTATGGACGTGGAGTTCGGCTGATTGTGATGATGATGATAGACCTGGAGACCGGGCAATGTGCGCAGCAAATTGAAACCCTGACCGGCATCGCCGCTCCGGCCGCCAACCGCTGAGCTCTGCACCGTTGTCTCGGTGGCAGTGGCACCCGTTGAGCTGCTTGAGAATGTTCTGGAGCGGGGGCTCTGCTGGCCGCTGGTCGCTGGTGTGCTTGCCTTTTGACCCATAGAGTTTGAGTTTCTTTCTATCTCGCACGGCCTCTGCCTCTGCCCGCCCCCCGCTGCCGATGCGCCCCTCGATCACTGCCTGGTTGAGCTCGCACTCTTTGCCACTCGCGCGTATTATTGCACTTTTCGAATTCGCTCTCAATTGGAGTCTCTTGCTCTCGCGGTCGCTCTCGTTGTGATGCAGCTTAATTTATTTATTTTGATTTTTTTTTTCTTTTTTTTTTTTGCGAGCTGTCTTTGTTTGCTCCTTCGTATATTACGCGTGTGTGGGTGGGCGCGCGTGTGTGTGAAGGTGTTTGCCTGTGTTTGTGTATGTGAGTGTGTAGGAGAGTTTCTGCGTGCGTTCACATTTAAGGAAACAAAACAAATGACAGCAGCAGCAGACAACAATAGCAAACAAAGTTGATGTTATGGATCAGGGCTTTGGGGGCTGGTGGGTGATGGGTGCTGGGTGGTGGGAGGTGTTTGGTGGGTCAGCAGCGGCGGCAGTGACGGGCGGCGTTGATAAATGCGGTATATAGATAAGTGTTTAAGTGTGTTTATGTGCCTTCTGCTGCCTTCGCCTGTGAAATGTTGTTGTTGATGATGATGATGATGATGATGATGATGAATGTGTGTACTGAAAGGTGTATGCGTGTGCGTGCGACCGTGTGTGAGTGCGGGTGCGGGTGCCAAAAGTGCGGAGCGTTGGGAGGGCGTTAATCGCACGTCGGTCGTCGGTGTCAGTGTCGGTGTGATGGTTCTTAGTGTTGGTGTCCGCTGTCGGTGCGTAGTTGATTGCTGCTGTTCTTGCTGTTGTTGTGATACCGAAAACCAAAATAGTTGTGGACTCTAACTACGCTTAATCCGCTTGATTACCACTCGCAATTTAAATTACTGTTTCCGTTTTCTCTATATTATTTTTAACATCTCCGTTTTCGTTTTATGTGTACTCTTTGCTTTGCTTTTGACCACCACAATTTATTGGTCGACCACCACAGCGTATTATCGCAGTTCCCGGTGTTGAAAAATGCCAGTATACCAATCAAGCTGATAGCGATATATCAATTTACTATCGAATGTCAGCGATATCGTTGGTAATGTTGTTCGATGTTTAACAAAAAAATTTTACTTTACGTATTTTGTTTATGTTTCTGATCTTAGGAATTGTAAATAATACAAAAAATAAAATTTCTCTAGTTGCTCGTCATAGTTGGTAAAGACACTTAGTGCCGGGCCAACTTAAATCGATAGTAATGTATCGAAATTTCGTTGCGATATCAATAGATCTTGCCAACCAGCTAAGAAACATAAGTTTGTTAATAATGTGGTTGTGTTTGTAAAATTGCAGTTGTTGGCAAATTGTTTAATTATTCATGTGCTGCGGTCACTAAGCCTAACAGAGAAAGCGCACTAGAACAGAAACAACTTCGGCATGAGTTGGTTTGAAAAAGCCAAAACGGTTCTAATCGAAGCGCTTGACATACAGGATGATGACAACAAGGCAACAGATAACGCTGGCAGCAGCACAACAGCCAGCAGCAACAGTAGTAGTGCTGGATCGTCGATGGCCGCCGCCAAGGGTGCATCAGTAAACGCATTGAACACATCTGCAATAGATGGGGCCACATTCTACGACAATCCGCATGCCAACGAGATGGTTACCATTCCGCCCAGGGCAAGCGATGCCTCAGTGTCAGCACCAGCCAATCTCTATGCAAAGCGCCAGTCGGCCACGTCAGATTCGGTAGACCTGCTGTCTTCGCCATCACCGACGTCGCCAACTGGTGGCGGCGGTTTACGCAATTCCGAGTCATCACTGGAGCTTATAACAGCGCCAACAACTGCCAGTGAAGTAGAAATGAATATGTCGCCAGATACAGAACCTTCGCTGCCCGATAGCATAGTCATAATAGCCAGCAATGAGACATCCGACAATGCGGATGGCGACGTTGATGACGACGATGATGATGATGCCATTGATGAAGAAGATGATGGGCAAGTGATTAACTTGGATCAAGACGATCATTCGTTGCATTTGAATGGTGAGTATACCCTTGGCTCGAGCTAAGTTGCATTTCAATTCTCATTTGCACTTCTACAGACTCTACCAAAACGATGAAAGCCTTGGTATTCAGCGACACCCAGACGGCTGTCAATGTATCTGGCGCTGGAGCTGGTGCCGATTCGGACTCGACGCAAAGCTTTGAGGACATCCAGCTGCAGTTGAGCCACAAGAGCAAGTCGGCCGACAGTCCGGTCAGCACGGAGGCCTGCCAGCATGGCAGCAAGACGGAGTTGCCCGATCAGAGCTACTCGTCCACCTCATCGGACATTGAGATCATATCGAATCCGAATGGGGATTCCAGTACAAACAGCACGACGACACGCACCAGTCCGCAAAAGTTCAAGGAGCTGTGCGGCGGTGTTAAAGGCCATGGCCATGGCTTGCATGGCCAGAAGCAAGGCAAGGGTCACCATCGCGAGCCATCGGAGATCTCATTGCTGTCGGAGGACTCGCAGTCGGAGCTGGACAAGCTGGTGCATCGCATAAGCGAACTCAATCAGGTTATCGAGGCGCGCGAACAGCGTCTGCTACAATCGGAGCGCCAGAATGCGGAGCTCCTGGAGCGGAATCAACAGCTGTGCGCCCAAATGGAGGCGGCTAAGAATAGTGCCAACAGCAGCGAGGCCAACGAGGCGGTGCAACGTCTGTCGGCATTGGAAAAGAAGTTTCAGGCGAGCATTCGGGAACGGGATGCGTTGCGCATACAAATCAAGAGCCTAAAGGATGAGCTGCTGAACAAAATACCCAAGGATGAGCTGACCGAAAGCAACGAAATGATCATTGCACTGCAGTCCGAGGGCGAGAAACTATCCAAGGAGATTTTGCAGCAGTCGAACATCATCAAGAAGCTGCGTGCCAAGGAGAAGACCTCAGACACACTGCTGAAGAAGAATGGCGAGCAAATCTCACAGCTATCCAGCGAGCTGGAGCGCCTAAAGAAATCCCTGGCCGCCAAGGAGGAGATGGAGCGGTCGCAAATTGAAGCCGTTTGCCGCATGACCAACGAGAAACGGCGCGTGGATGAGGAGAATGCCGAGTATCGAAGCCGTATCGAGGATCTGCAGTCGAAGCTGGCGGCGCTCCAGGCGAGCTTCGATGGCGTCAAGGGTGATCTGCAGCAGCGCCAGCGCCACGAACAGAATCAAATGCAGGCCGAGAATCAAGAGTATATGCAGCAGCTGAACGAAATGCGCGAAAAGTTGCGAATCACCGAGCACAACATGGTCAAGCGGGAGCAGCAGATGCGCGAGGAGAAGCGCGATCTGTTGCGTCGTCTCGAGGCGGCCGAATCGCGTGCTGAGAGCAGCACCCAGGAGTTGAGCTTGTCGACGACGCCGCTCATCAGACAAATCGAATCGCTTCAGAAGACGCTCAATCAGCGCACTGTCGCCTGGAGCAAGGACGAGCAGCAGTTGCTCGAGAAGCTGGAGGATGCGCAGGCTCAGTTGCGTTCGCTGCAGCAGCAAGAGACGGTGCACCAAGAGAAGCAGGATCTGCTGCGCACCCGCTGCGATCTGCTCGAGGAAAAGCTGGCTAATGCTCTAATGCAATCAGAGAGTGCCAAGATTCAGCTACGTCAACAGGAGCTGGACGCCAGCATCAGAGAGAATGACTACAAGAGGTGAGGATGACCTATTCCATTTCTCTGTATATATATATTAAATATCTTGTTCTGCTCGTGTCCAGCCAACTGAGCTCGCTGCAGGAGCAGCTGAAGCAGCGCCAGGACAAGTTGGATTCCTTGGCCGAACAATGCCAGCAACTGGAAGCGGAGCTGCGCAAGCTGCACGCCTTCCAGCGCAGCAGCGAGCTAACCGTGGAGGCCGTCAAGGCCAGCAACGAGATGTCCGAGAATCGCTGCCAGAAGCCGCTGCACGTCTCTCCGCCGCTCAGCCTGGCGGATGAGAGCGGCTCCAATGAGGATGCGCTGGGCGGCATAATTGATTGGCAGGGCGTAAGTGAATCAGTCGTACGAAAATGATTCTATACATTCAATTGAATACATTCTCATATTGTCTAACCAGGACGATTTGGAGTGCGCATCGAACAGCGGGCGACAGCCGTCGGGCATGATTCAGGGCGTGCATTTGAGCTTCTTAGCTGGTAATACCACGACGCTGGAGCATCTGCAGGCGCTGCTCAAACAGCGCGATGGTGAACTAACGCACCTGCAGTGGGAACTATCGCGACTGCAGGCGGAACGCGGCGTGTTGGACAACGAAATATCTAAATTAACTATGGAAATGGAGACGGTTAGTGCAGTGACTACTCTAGCTTATCGTTGCCCTCATTCATCATTACTCATTCAATTCTTTACTCTCAATTCGATGCAGCTGAAGGAGAAAGTGCAATCTTATGAAGCCATGGAGAAGTGCTATGAGGATCTGCAGCATCGCTACGATGCTCTGCTGCAAATGTACGGCGAGAAGGTGGAACGCACTGAGGAGCTCGAACTGGACCTGGTCGAGCTGAAGCAGGCGTATAAAATCCAAATTGATGAGCTGCTCGCGGCGCCGCCTCCAAATCTTCAGCGACCAGCCAAGCCCACATGATTGCCGTCCCTGGCATGGTTGCGACGTGCCTAATAACCGGCAACCCAGTCGGATTTATATATCTGGATATATTTCTCTTTGTCGACCTTATGCAAATGCAAAATGCTTCGGGCATACTTAACGAAGCTGTTGTTTTCTTCATTCCTCTATTTTGCTTATGTATATGTGTATCAGCTGTGTCCCATTTCCAGCCAGCACTCCCGCTCCCTCCCTAGCCTCCAATTATTAATTATCTATGTATAATCGTCATATTAACATACAAGTAAATATAATTTGCGTGTTAAAATTTCTAGTTATATTATGCATATGGATCGATTGTGATAATTTTTATTTATACTTATGCGTACATAAATTAAAAATAATTCGTACATCATTATTTCTTTCGCTCTTTTACTTGAGTTCAAGATCTGATCTTTGGGCTGCATAAGAATTCTTTTCTAGGTGGAGACGTCTTTTATCACACAGTGCTTAACAAACTTATGGCTTACTCGTAATTAAAGCTTAAATAGTTATTTAGGTATCTCTGTTCACAAGGAATCAAGGTAACTAGGGATTGTAATACGTGAAAATACAAAATTTTACTATGTGGCATCATGAACCAGAATTAGCTAAGTTAACTTCACAGTTTATGGCGCTCTTAGAATGGCATTTGCAACTTGAGTTAGTGGAAATACAGGCTTAGCGGGCTCATCGCCAGCTCCGTCCATGTAGCCACAGCTGTTGCTCAGATCATCCGTGTTGAGGGAGAAGATCATTAGGCCGCCCACATTCATGGACTTGACATAGTTGGCTTTGCACGAAATGCTCGTCATGCTCTCATATGAGATCCACTCCTGCACACCGCTGATATAGGGCGAACAGGTATCGTTGTCGTATGTATAAAGTGGTTCGATGAATTGATGGGCGCACTCGCAGGTCTCGGAGAGCGTAGTGAAGCCCAGTTGTCCACACTCGCCAAAGCCCGAGGCAGGCGCACCTATCCGACGGTTCAAGGGATTCATGAGGCTGTAAACGGATGGGAATGAAGGCATTGTATTTTTATCCAAATCCCATGTTACTCACGTAAAGGAATGCCCATAGGTTGGCAAGCCGATGACCAAACGCTCTGGCTCCAAGCCATTTTTCAGCCACCAGTGCGCGGTATAGTTGATGTTAAAGGTGGCCATTATGGAGTGCTCCGTGGAGCGGGCATAGAGTGGGGCATTCAGTCCAGTAAATGGCGTATCCTCGCGATAGAAATGAAAGTCGTAGGACATTAGATTCACATAGTCCACGTAGTGGTTGATTTCGCCAATGTCGTAGCCAAAGAAGGCGATGCCCTCGGGTGCAGCGACGGCCAAGGTTAGCAGATTGTTAGTGCGCTTCTCGCGACGCCACTCAAGGCGAATCTCGTGCAGCAGCTGGGAGAAGTGCATGCGCTCATTGTCGTAGGCTCGCGGAAACTCCCAGTCCAAATCGATGCCATCCAAGCTGGGATATTTGTGGAGCACGGCACGAAGTGAGCGCAAGAATTGTTTGCGCCGATCATGATTCGCTACCATGTTGGCAAACTGGTGGCCACTGTCCGCACCGCCAATCCACAGCAGCAGCTTCACCTGCGGATGGGCGGCACGATAAATACGTGTCTCATTCTGCAGGACTTGCTCGAGGCGCGCTGACAGCTGCAACGTCGTGTTGAACAAATTGGCAATGCCAATGTTAATGTGCGTGCACAAATCTCCGGGCACATCCAGCAGGCTCAGATTGTCGGGTCCCGAAGCTGAGTAATAGCACACTAGGCGTTGGTTGCGCTGCACTTGCAGGCGATTCAGTACCTTGAAGTGCACTGTTAGTAAACAAACAAACGCAAGACACGTAAACAACAGTATGTAGCGTATCTGAAGGTCATGCTTTTGCAGTCTTGATGGCACAATATTTCCATTATCAGGTTGAATCTTGATATAATTCACCATTGCTATTGTTGCTGGCAAAATGTGATAATGAGCAAGCAACGTAGCGTTGTTATTTGCGTTGCTTCAAAAGTCAGTGTAATCAAAACAAAAATAGAAAATCAGAAACATCGATAGCATGCGAATTCCATCGATAGCCCAAGATTGGCGATAGGTGATATGTGGTTGCAACCCTGTTCGCATGTGCATATGCGTATTTGGGTAAAAAAAGTTTCTATCGTTTGTGCTGCAATTTTTACGTTCGCCGTGCTTTTCGTTTGATTTTTTTTGCAAACTTCAAAAACAAAAACATGCAATTGTTGAGCGTAAACATTAAATAGCTGCTGCGGCCGTACACTACTCTATAATAATATTGCCGTCTGTGAGTGTCAGTCTTAATGTTTGTATAATTTGCTCATTGTTTTTCCGTGTGTGAGACAAAGTGAGTGTGAGTGTGTGTGTTGGTGTTGCTGCTGTTGTTTTCGCCGTCATTGTTGTTGTTGTCGYCTCGCTTGCGGTGCAAAACAAAACACACCCAAATGACTGGCATCAGCCAAAAGACGAATCAAACACAGTCATGCTTACCATAGGGTGGTGCAAACCGGCAAAAGGCAGAAATGGCTGTAGGATTCTATATTAATAAATACATATATGTATATATATTTATATGATTGTGTGTGTACGTGCTTTCGTTTTTGGCATATTCACGCCCATTTGCATATGCACATCTGTGTATGTTTGTATCTGTGTGGCTCTGCTGAATGACTCACTAGATAAATGTTACTCTGCCCACATACCAAAAAAACAAAAACAAAAGAAAAAAAAAAAACTAATAAAATAATAAAGTTGCCGGTTCGACTTTGGCACCTTGCAATTTCTGTACTGATTGTTGTTGTTGTTGTGGCGTTGTTTGTGTACGCGCTTATCTGGCGCAGTTTACGGCCCGCCCTCTCTCCCTTCTAGCGCCCCCTCATCCATACCGGTTAGCCCGGGCCACAAGCACTGCAAGAACTTGGGCTCGCATTCTTTAGCTTGTTAAAAATGGTAACTAACCTGCTTTTTTAATTTTTGTCTCGTTATTGTTGCAGGTTGAGTAACACGGTTAGCTATATGAGAACCATGACAAAAGACTACGATTATCTGTTAAAGGTGCTTCTGGTTGGCGACAGCGATGTGGGTAAACACGAAATACTGTCCAATCTGGAGGATCCGTCAACCGAAAGCCCCTTCTGCAGTGGCAATGGTAAGTGGGCCGACAAACATGGTTATATTTATGGCTCTGGCATACAGCCAACTCATATATAGATTGCACCTCTCACATATTGCAAACGGTAGCATACAAAACGACAACCATATTGCTGGAAGGCAAACGGGTTAAGCTACAGATCTGGGATACATCCGGTCAGGGTCGTTTCTGTACCATAATACGCTCCTATTCGCGCGGCGCTCAGGGTATTATCTTAGTGTATGATATAACAAACAAATGGAGCTTCGATGGCATCGATCGCTGGCTCAAAGAGGTCGAGGAGGTGAGTGTTGAAATCTAAACGCCTTAACCAGTGAATTATATGTGAATATATTCTACAGCATGCGCCTGGCATACCCAAGGTGCTTGTGGGCAATCGCTTACATTTGGCCTACAAGCGCCAGGTGGCTGCCAAGACGGCGGAAACCTATGCCTCACGCAACAATATGTCCTGCTTTGAAATCTCGCCACTCTGCGACTTCAATATACGCGAATCGTTTTGCGAACTCGCCCGGATGGCGCTGCATCGCAATGGCATGGAGCACATCTGGCGCAGCAATAAGGGTACGGCAAATAAGCTATATTTGTAGCTGCATTATATTATGTTAATGCTTGTATTTGTTTAATTGCAGTATTGTCGCTGCAGGAGCTCTGCTGCCGGACAATTGTGCGTCGCACTAGTGTTTATGCCATCGATTCGTTGCACCTGCCGCCCTCCGTTAAATCGACACTGAAGTCGTATGCCATGACAACGTCACAGTGCTACAATTCGTTAACGCAAAACTCGAAAAGTCGGAATCGCTGCAAGACGCCAACCAGCCACAGTCGCAACAGCTGTGCGATCGCGTGATTGCCGGCTTGTAGGTGGTTTCTCGTCTCTTCTGCAACTGCCTACGCAACGGCTGCGCAATTGCGCCTAAATCTACAATCTACTTATATATATACTATCTAAGCTTCAACACATATACACACACACACACACACATTATACATACATACATATACACACACAACCCACATAACATGCGCGAGTATTTTCTTTAATACAAATATGTCATCAGCATTAATATTTATTATTATCGTATGAAAGAGAGCGAGAGAGCGATGTTTATATTTTTACATCCTATACATACT